TGTAAAACTCTCGGCTCGCTTTCCAAAGGATCAAAGCCAATCCAATGGCCTTTCCTGTTCAACAGCCGTTCTGCCATCAGAGCAGTGGCGATGGATATGAGCAGTATTCGCATAATCTTGCATGAAATACAGGCCGTTTCTAACCTTTTTTTTTTTTTCCTTTCCAGAAACGGTTCCAATCACCCCCCCCCAAGAGAGCAAGAACATTTCAATCACAGCTATCTCATTTTCGTTGAACAATCTGAATTTTCAAAAGTTGCAAATGTTACGAGAGAGAGGGAGAATATGCAGTTGTGGCACCGCCAGTTTGTTCTTCTCCGCAGCCCCTAGAGCCGGTGCGGGCCTTCACGCGAGCGGCGCCTGGGCCAGAAATACGCGCTGCCCTCCAAGGCGACACGACGACGACGATGGCACGGGCGCGGTGTGCGAAGCAGCGGCAGCAGCAGCAGCACCCGCTGACTCACGCGGGGACGCCGCGCCGCATCCGAGGCGAGGGCGAGGCGGGGAGCCAGAATAGACACGCGTGCAGTTCCTGCGAAAGGCAACGGCCCTCCCCGGCGGCGCAGCGCGGACGTATAGAGAAACGGGAGGCCAGGGGCAGCAGATCCATAGGGACCCTTATTTCAACCAAAAGTGTGTGTGTGTGTGTGTGTGTATAAAATAAATTATACACACACACATTTCTTCTTTCGGATCACCCACTTTCTTTCAGATGAAAGAAGGAAGGAATATTGTAAGAAACGAAAAACACATAAGTAATTGATCTAATGTACTTCAAAGTGGGTGATTTTTTTCTCTCCTCTGTCACTTTGCCCCTCTTTTGAATTTATGTTTTTTCTGGGAATCTGAGCTGTTCCTCATGAATTATTTTTCGCTCAAATACTTCTTTAGTTAGTTACTATTCATTCTAAAGATATGACCATAGAAACTAATTCTCCGTGTATAGGAGAGTTTTCCAATTTATTTGTACAAATATTTAATAGGAATTAACGTAATTTCATTATTTTTGTATTTAAAGCTTAGTAGTTTCCTTAACATTTTTCTCTCTTTCATTTCTAAACAATCTAGAAATCTTCTGTTATTTGGGGCTAGTGCTTCAGCTTTTTAGTATATACTTAATAATAATAAAAAACGTTAATTATAATTCAGCTGCAATTAAATTTTTGTTTAAAACTAATTTTAAATGTAATTATAAAAAAATATTTTAAACAGTTTACTTTTAATAATTTATTATTAAGTATGATAAAATTCAAGTAAATTACTATTTACTTAGAAGTTGAAACTTGAGTCTTCTTCCGAGCTTCCATTAACAGCTAGTTTAACTCAGAAGTAAATGCATGCATGCATATATGTGTGTGTGTGTGTGTGTGTGTGTGTGTGTGTGTGTGTGTGTGTGTGTGTGTGTTGAAAGAAAAAAAAGGAGCCCCAGAATTTTCCGCCAAGTCGAGATATGCGGCGATCTGCCTTAATTCTCTGGACGCCAGTGTGGTGTGCTTTCTGCGCCCGCACAAGCTGCACCACAGCGTTATTATTAAGGAGGAGCTCGGCGGACGCGATGTTTGTAGCCTCTTTAGAAAAGCAGCTATCAGGCGTAGCTTTGTCATACTTTAAATCCAGCTTTTTCGATCCTGTTTCGGCAGTCTTCGGTGCATTTCTGTGATGGCTACAGGCCTCGGAAAGACAAAAAAACGCCGATTTGTCTTTACCGGGCCAGCATCAAACGCGCTAACTCTTGCCAAAACGTTCGAATCTTGACGAAAACCGTTTATTTCGCGAAACTTATTGGAGATATATTTTGAATCGTGTTCATTTCTAAGCGCGCAGAAAACATGCCAAATATTTGTGGGTTTTTAAAATTTAAAATACAAAATGTTCATTCAACATTTCCAAATGCCATGAGCATGGACAAAATGAAGATAAACTGACTACAAAAAATCATGAACGGTGTGTGCGCGCGTGCGTATGTAGGGGGATTTTTCTTAAGCACTGAACATCCCTACAACCAGCATCCACGAACAGATGCACGAAACATCGACAACACGTTTTACTTCAGACAAGGAAATGTTTCCAACCAAATTAAGATGAATACCTTCAGTAGAAGTAATAGAACCATTTTCTCATTCACTTTGGTATTGCCATTGAAGGTGAATATTATTCTCAAATATGACCGCTCAGAGATGGCAAAATTAGAAAAAAAATAGTACAATTCAGGAGAGAAAAATACGCACACAACCTTACCTTGCAAAGGGAGACTGTTGCACGAGGTAAGCGTTCGAAAAATGTTCCTTTTTAATAACCATTTCCAAGTGTTCTCCAGAAATTGTCAAAATCCCATTCTGATTACATTTCAAAACTACGCCGCTGGGTAGATCAAACATTGCCATAAAAGTTTTCGAGAACACGCGGATCCCTAGAGCAGGCGCTCTTGCAAAACCCCGAGAAGAATTGCCAGAAATACAGTGAAGTACGAAACCAGGAAGAAAGAGTAGCGGGTATGCTAACCCCTACAGTCACTGTTAGGTATGCGATATAGCACTGCTGACTGTAAGACGGGCCCGGTATGCCGATATACTACGAACGCTTCTACTGACAAGTTAACAATTGTCACTTGGGTTATTTTCACTTTTCTTAATAGCTTTCAAGAAATGCAGAATTACATGCTTCTACTAGGTAAGAACGATGCAATTATCTTAATGAATCACCCCTCTGATTTGATTTATTCCGCAACCCAACATTTCTCCGATTTCATTTATTGTCTAATAAGTAAAAACTGTTTGTGAGAGAAGTATCGTCTGTATGTTTTCTTGGAATCCATAATCCCTCACACGTCCATCAGTGGTTTTGAAACTTTTTGCTGCCGGACTCCCTCCAGGTACCAATTCTGCCCACGCCTTCCCTCATTAAAATTACATTGTCAATAGAAAATAACGAAATATTTTTTTCCTGAAAGTAAGGCCATCATGTACATTTTGTTATTATATACTTGTGGTGAACAAAATAATTAATGCAAGTGGTTTGCACGGTCCATTCTTGTAATAAATGAATTTAATTAATGTTTGACAAAGCAAGGAAAACTATAAAAACGAACTTATTGATAGTTCCAAAACGTCAGTGAGCTGGATGGACTCGTTTGGTGTCACACAGTTTATCGAATCTCGGCACTAATTTAGAAATCAATGTCAGCACATATCTCATTCTGAAGATTTTTTCTTGATCACCACTGACTGACACTGACACACATATGACTGAGAACCCTTTTTCACATACGTAAGAAGTGGGAAAAGGAAACAAAACACGCAAAGCCTTCTTACTTAATTCTGGATACTGATTCTTTACACAGCACCGAAATTCGGAGTGTTGCAGGAATGAATCACGCCCCAACAAAGCGAGCCGTATTCTATTGCCCCAACTGCCAGATAACTGATAGATGACTGTTGGTTACATGGAAGCAATGCGGTCATATTATACAAATGTTTCTCGCCCACAACACTAATGAAGGTACATAGGCCGATAGTAATTAATTCATGTAGAAATAATTAGAGCAAGCATTATAATATTATTTAATTGAATTATTACGAAGTTCTCGCGCCTCCCCTGCGAAACTTTCGCGTCTCCCTGGAGGAACAAATGTACCAAAAAATCGGGGTACATAATGTTATGTCAATACATTTCCTACATGTACATTTGTATTATGTAAGTAAGTATTCGTTTTTGTTTTTCTTTATCCTTCAACTAACAGAAGCTCAAAATTTCTGTTAATAAAACTAAACGAAAGAAATATCTGAAATTAAGAACGAAGCGGAAATCGAATCCGCAAATAGGCACTGGTATTCATATCATTAAACATTGGATGTCATCCAACTGATACCGGGAACGTAGAGGAACCCCAACCTTCTCACACTATAAGCAGGTGAACATGAAGTATTTATAGTGAACATAGGGCAAATAAAAAAAAATCTGACGATCGTGACACTAGCATTCTAAATCAATCATGCTCTGTAAGTTATAACAATATGGATATGAAGAAAAGTATTTTGTAAAGCGTGCTTGTAGTGCGCATTACAAGTGGTAGTTCAAAATTACACACTTCCGAAACAGCAAAATCAAATTATCTCGGAATACCTAATACTTCTTATTAATATTCCGAAGACTCTTGAATGATGCAGGATTTTTTTTTTTTTTTGAAGTTCCAACAAGATAGGGCAAAAACCGATGCAACTTTCTTTCAGTAAAACGTAAATTACTGTTTATTTTCCTCAAAAAAATAGGTTACACAATTGAAATTATGAGAGGCCAGTAACCTTAATTTTGTACAAATCGGAATTACCAAGACGGCACCAAAGACTTGCTTTGAAGCAGTAAGTTGGGCAACGAATATATTTTATTACAAAAACGAATTCATATTGCGGAAACTTTCAAGTGCACTGACTCAATTCCAACAATTACTGAAAATCCAAAACAAGTATACACCTAAGTCCATTAAACGTCAAAATGAGTTCGCTTTTGTATATAAAGGAACATCTAATTTACAGGTGATAATAGATCATTACTCTTCAAATCTATAAACAAACACAATATGTAAAGCACAATGGCATGTCCACCCCCCTCTCAAGTATGTTTCCCTCGACAGCCTTTAGGGGTGTTAACATTCAATGGCAAATATTACTATTTGAAGATAACTTGTCAGTTACAATAACGTGCGTGTTTTGATGTTAAATATTCACGATGCCACTTACAAATCAAGCACAGAAGCATTTTCACTCATTTGGACTGCCTTTGATGCTGACCATAGACATAGGCCTATATCTATGATACTGACATACGATTATCATTACTCAAATATTAACTGCTTTGGGATGCAGCGAAGAACAGGAAATTAGGCACCTGAATTTAATTCAGAAAATCGTATTGAAAAATCAGAAGCAGGTATTTGAAACACTTTTCCAAAATTAATTTTCCAAATGATCAAGCAACATCCAGTAAACAAAAATACAAATTACCTTGCGAAGGGTGTATGTTCCACGATGTAAATGTTTGAAAGAGGGTCCTTCTTCATAAGGTTTTCCAAATGTTCTTCAGCAACAGTCAAAAGCCCATTTTGATCACAGCTCAAAATGATGCCGCTGGGTAGGTTAAACTTCGACATTGCCACAAAAGTATTCAAAGTCTCCCGGATATATTAAAAATAGTCAATAACAAGCAAGTTTTAACCGAATACAACACAGCTCTATACTTAACAATTGTTATTTACAATAACATGAAAACATGTATTCACGAGCAACCAGTACGTATCATACAATTTAAACGGAACGCTAATTTTCCGTTATAAAATTCAGCACCTCACAACGGTGGGAGAATTCTCACTGACATCGAACCACAATTTATACTCTTCTTCAAAACACCACACTCGAACTTAATGCCGCCGCCACTACACTGCACAGAAGCAAACGTTCATCAGGAGCGCCGACGACGGTGTGTTTATGTCATCAACAGAGAACATGCAGCCATGACTGGTTCCCGCGACAAACTAGAGAAACGTTACTGCTCTCAGAGCCATCTGACGGGCAAGTTCAAAAAGATATAAAACAGAAAGGTCGATCTCAATGCTCTCTAGTGCCATCTAGCGTGTTATCGAAAACGTTTCATGCGCGGGAAATACGATCGCAGTTGGCGTGCATGCATTTGATAACTTTGTTCTTGTGTACAATTTCGGCTAATTATCAATTACGTCATATTCCCAAATAGTTCCATTTTAATTTCATGTTTAACAAATGTTCAATTCAAATTTTATGTTAAAACAATTTGATGCAATTGTTCTTATATTCCCCACTATATAAAAAATCGGAAGGATGGTGGATACTTGAAAGTCATATCTTTTTAAGGGCGCGACATTCGTTATGACGACGAAGTGATGGTACGTAGCTGGTTTCTATGTTGCTGGTTGATTTATGTATTTAAAAAATCACATACTACTGAAAAACAATAAAAATGAGATAAACTCTATTAAATTAATTAAAATGAATTCTAAATATTAGTTTCACACAGTCATATGAACTGACCATGATGTTTACCAAAAAATATTGGATACAAAGGTACATTACCTAATTCAGAAAGTAATTTTAAAAAGTTCTCTAATTCTTAGTACTCTAAGTTTTGTAATGCTGCAAAACATTGTCAAGATTTTTGTGTTAGTACACTTTCTGGGAGTTCCTGATACCAAAAAGTTTTTTCAAAATATTCAAAGTTTTTCTTTTCCCAAAATGTCTTTCTGTTTATTTATGAACAACACTAGTGCCTAAACCTCTCATAGAATTTTCATCAACTGATATATTTTTGATCATTTAGTTGATCACATGGTCTTGTTTAAGCTTTTGCTCCTTGGTGTTTGTACAAATTAACACTGGCTGCCATGCGAGACCATATGGTCTCCATAGGCACTTATTATTTTTTTTAACATGACCATGTGGTCTTGTAGAAAAACTGACATTATAGTGTTAATAGCTGCAGAATGTTCCTCTGAGTCCATATGGACTTGTACACTTTTGTAAATAAAATTAATTCTATACAATATATGAAAATTGTTCCAACCATTAATGTTCTAGCATGTATGAAGTATGTAAATTACCATTGGCACTGAGACATAGGGTGCAAATAACCTGTATGGTATTGAGGTGTAATATGGCGAGAATGTGCTTGACAGTAAACATGTAAACCTTTGTAGAAGACTATTATTATACCTGAAGGATGTATTTAATAATTTTAAGTGTTTAAATGGATATTTTAGTATCAGTTTCTTTTTAAATTATTTGATAATGTTTTCTAAACATTTCATTAAATATAGCACTTACATTTTCTTGCACATCATAATAAATAATAAAAGTTTTTAATGAATTTTCTAACCACTTAAAGATTATAATAGTAATTCTTTTAAAAATTTGTGTAATTTTATTTCTAGATATCTGTGAACCTGAATAAAAGGCAGCATGAAATCATGAAACATTTTAAATTGTATTTAATAATTGTTCATATTGAAAAAAAGCCTAAAAATAAAAAAAAATGATTGTTTTTATTTAATTGTGGGATCCACCTACAATTGATATTCTTCAAAAGACCTGGCTGGTGTCATGAACCCTTAAATATTAAACTGATCTTTTAATTCTGGTGACTTAAATGAAAATGTATACACATTAAGCCTCTAAATCATTTCCAAAATTTTCTCAAAAATGGATTGAATAAAAAAAAATTCTTACTATACTAATGGAGACAAGTCTGATTTTCATTGAAAGCTCAGAATTTCCTACAAATTACAAATGTGTTAAAGTTTAGGAACATCTCCAAATAATTTTGAGTGAAATCACATCAATATAGTACATACACAACAATTTTGCAAAATTGGATTAATTTTTTTCTTTACATTTGTGATTCCAATAGAGTAATGATAGCATCATAACATGACATAGGACTAACTTTCATTGAAATCCCAGTGAAATTCGAAAATTACAAAAGTTAATTATCTTTCAAACCTATTCTACATCTTCAATGTCTTTCTTCATGCAATTTCTCAATACTAGATCTAAAATCACGTCGTGTAAAATTTAAAAAAAAATGTTAGTAGCTTACAAGTAATTTTTAGATACATGGCAATAAAGTGAACAGTTTTTAAAATAAAAAAGTATGAGCTGTACCATCACTAGTTTTTCTTGAAGTTTTCTTCCTTGACATACATACTTACCTAAAATGATTTAAAACACAATTATTCAGGCATTTACATCAGAAGTTGCTAAATAAATATTGTCAACATTTATTGGGAAGGAATTTGAACCAAATAATAGGTATGTGACTGGATTAGGCATGGAATTCACAAAATGATGAATCAATGTATTTACACAAATTAGTGGTTGTCAGGAATTTATTTCAGAAGGAAAAAGCAAAACACAAAATATTGTACATAACATTTAAATGAAAATGTCTCTTTCAACAATTTGGAAATTAATGTATGTAGATTTTTCTCGGTTTTAATATAACACAAATTTCACAATAAATACAAAATATGGTACTATTGGATCTAGGTATGCAAAGAATTATGGCACTAATGCTTGAAAGATTATTGTCCTCTAGACGGACGTTTTTGTGCAAGTTTGATTCAAGAAGGTAACAATACTATATCACATACTCAGTATTACATTGTTTTCTGTCTTGCCATACGCATTAAATCAACTTTTAAAATGCTGTGTAATTTGAAGCCAGAAAACATGCAACAAGATAATTTAGTTAAAAAATATGACTTGACTTGATGTCATAGTGAATTTTACAAATTTTGAAAATGAGTGTCTTAGAAGACAACCTTAATTTAATACTCATCTGTGAAGCTTTTTCATGGTCACACTCTGATAAAATTTTGTAAAATATATTGGAGTATTTCACACTACTCTTCCATTTATAGTAAATAAGATTAATGGAGTCGATAAATCACAAGTAAGAATTTAGCTAAATAACTAAAAAAATAATTACATTAAATAATATACTAATTATAGAAGAACCAAAAAAACAAAATATATAAATAGAAATTACAAAGAAACATACTTTAAAGCATAAAATTTGTGCATTCTATAAACAATATCACAGATATTACAGGGATCAAACAAAATGTATCTGCTAGACTTTGGGACATCTAAAATGAATTTTAGTACAAAATACATTTGTATTCAGAATGAAATTTACATTCATTAATTATAAGGATAAATTTCTTGTATCTGTCAAGTTGATAATACAGTGCAAATGTAAATATAAAATAAAATTGTCATTATCAGCATCGACAACAAAAAAACACTAAGTGTCAAGGCTTCCTGATATGTTATTCAATAGATGTGGAAAATGAAATAACTAAACATTCTCTAAATTATTCATTTTCAGTTTCTCGTAATAATGATCAAAAGCAGCGCAACAAAAAGTGCACACAAAATACGAAGCCTTCACAGAGGTTAGATAGTATTAAAGCTTCTTATTGAAGTCTTAAATGTAATTATTGAAAACATTTCTTATTAAAGCCATTTTTACTGCATGCTTTGTTGAAAGCAATGAAGAAATACTTTTTTTTCCCTTGATAGATACAAGAACTCTGTTTTTGCATCAATTAGTTCCCTTCACCCCATATTTGTTTTCATACATAACAAATTTTGTCATCATGCATTTGAAGGCATTAAGCTTGCTATTTCATATGTTTAGAAGATAGCCCCTTGTAACAAGAGATGTGCATTTTCATTACTAAGTAATAAAAATTAGTGTATAAATACTATCAATCTATGATCAAACATAGCGTAATAAACAATACAAACACTATTCAACTCGGATTTTTTTTAAAAACTTGTATAAAATATCACAAATATTGCACGTCCTTATTATTCCTATCTTTATCTATTCTTAAAAATCACAGAAAACTGCAGGATCAAAAAATATAGTTAAACATGCAAGAAACAAAATTTGGCAATTACAAAATTGTACACAATACAGCACAATCAAACCGTCTATCTAAGCACCAAATTGTAACAAAAAATATTCTGTAAAATATCACACACTTCTAATTAAAAAGCATCCTACAAACTATTATTAAGTAATAAGACATCTGTAAGGAAAATTCTTTACACAAGTGAAAGATCACTGTTTTGTTAAACCTAAATACTGCAATTTTTCATTTTGAAAAATGCAAAAAAAGGTCTTTCAGATTTTGAAAAATTGTTGGCAGAAATAACTTTTTTAATTTTAAGCAATACTTATATGCAGGTGAAAACATCTTGACAAAACTTCAGTGAAAAAACATATTTCCTTTACAGAAATAGCAATTATATGACTATTGTTCTAATACACTATTAAAATTTAATAGTCATTCTTGTTAATGTCTTGCATCATGACAATGCTACCATTTGTCATTATGTACTAGTCATGGCATTATTAACAAGTAGCAGTAAATGTAAGCAAGATGTGTTGGTTAAACACGATTCACAGATATTTCTCCTTCCCACTCACTGACCCTTTCAAACAACTCATAGCACCAGTTTGAAAGACAAAATAAATTCATATCTTGAAATCAGGCTATGATTTTGCAATAAAAATTTAAGTTATAGATAATTATTTTATTTAACACAACATTTCAATCATCAATTCCCTAATTATTCTCAGAGAATGTTATTGCACTGTGCAAACTGTCATTATTTCAATTATGCATTTCCTCAAGAGGGACCTATAATGAAAAATACTGTACTAATTTTGATTAGTTAAGTTCAAAAATGATTAACTCTGAATAGTAATGTCAGAGAAAATTTGAACAGCCATTTCTTTTTTCAAAATAAAATATTTTCTTTCTTTCAAATGCTATGCTTAACTAACAATGTGCACTATATGTAAAGAAAAAAAGTATATTCTATGTTCTATTCAAAAAACATTGTAACAATTATGTTATGTTCGAAATATTTAAATGTTTTCATTTTTCACACAATAGATAATATACAAAGGCCAAATAGAGCAGTAGTGTTTTTGAAGCATGGCAAATTATTATCTAAAAGCTTTGGCGAAATACTAAAAACATTATTTTCAAATATATTATTACAATTGAAAATACTTTATATGTAATTTTCTATATTGTCTAGCAAGGGATTTTTGTGTTATGTAACATCTTAAAACATGAATTACTTCATATTTCTCACAAATTAGACAACTTGAGAACTTTCTCCACACAAATAGTTCATAATACAAATAATAGCCCATACTTTTAATAATTCCAGGAACATGACAATTTTGAATTACCAGTGAAGCATCTTTCTAGAACGACAATCTAAGATTAAATGTTTGGACTAAAATATCTAACAATTTACAACATTCTGCAAATAGCTGACATAACTTTTTTTAAATTGCTGCCCTGATAATTCAAAATGTGTGTTCACTATTAAAATTTGACAATAAACATTATCTCTCATTTCAACTGCATTTTTCATATTTATTGTCATTCAATGATAATATTCACAATTGTGTTTTAATCAGTATTATAGAAACATATGCATGATTCAATTATTAACTATGATTCAGTCTTCCTTTTGAGAAATTATTTATTTGATGCATGTGTGATATCAATTTCTTACAAGGACAATTTGAATTCAGAACATGTATGGTAGTTGACATTTTAGTAAAAAAAATTGGATTTTTTAACAGAATTCATGGGCTGAATTCATTTTTAAATGTAAAAAAGTAATTTTAAATATTTTGAACAAGAAGCACAACTGCAACTTTCCCAAATATTCAGAAAAGAAATGACATTACCATGTAAGAAAATAAATTATTCCCTTATCTTAATTAGTCTCACCAGCTTTTAGTTGGTTTAATGACTCCACAAAATATCATTTAAAGTTAAGTGAAAGTAATACAAGGGCTTGTTTTTTCCATACGTGAACTGAAAAATTATCATTTATGATTATCACTTGTGAAATCACCTGTGAAATTGTACAATGCATAATATGTAAAATATATCGTATCTTGAGGTCTCAAAATGACATACACATTCTATTTGACATTTTTGGGAAAAAATATGTTTTGATACATTTAGACACTATTGTCAGATCTACAACTGGTCCTGGACAGTGCCTATATTTTGATACTCAGGTAATAGCCATTCCAAGATAGTGACAGATTGATGACAATTGAGTTTATGTATAAATATTATTTATTGCCAGATATTTAATGAACATTTCCTTTTTTCAAATGAATTTTATAATTTAATTACTAGGAATTAAATATTCATGGACTGAATTTGGAAAACTAACTTTTATTTCAGGTGAAGATTCCTAAAATTCCCCTCCTCAGGAACAACCTCAGATAAAACAACACAGTGTTTATTCCTTGAAAATTGTTGAGATGATTTACTTATTCGAAATTTTAAAAAATATATGCACTTGCATTTTTTATTTGTTTAGAATAAATACCATCAGAAGGCAAATTGGTAAAGCCATTCAACATGGAAGGAGATATACTCCAAATTTTTAGTCTGATTCACCTTTGTTCATTGCTTGTAATTCAGTTACACCTAAATTCAAATATTCTCTAGCACAAGATGATCCACAACACTAGAGTACCTGCTCTCCAAAAACTGCTATTCTAAAAATAATTTTCTTCTCTGATTCAATATATTAATTATTACATTACAAAATTGCAGCATGTGCATTAGTTATATCACAAAATTGGGGTATTAATTTTTTCCAAGTTTCTTCCATTTTATATCATACATTACATACTGCACAAAAATTTAATTCCCAGATAAATAATAAGGTTTTATACAGAAGATTAGAATTATTGTTTATTTTGATACATTTTTGTAGATACGTGTATCAAATAGTTTCAGTGCAAGTTCTGATGAAAGAGGTAAAATAGACTTAGGACAACTTCAATGTACAATTATTATCATAGTTACTATTAAAATGTTTTTGTTCTTTTTCCTTTCCATCTTATTAAAATTACTTATTAAATCAATAGAAAATACACTTGAAATCTACTCCTCATAGATTATTTCAGACGTAACAATACTGATAAAGTTACAGAAATAGGAAAAGATGCAAGTTAAAAGCAAACATTAAGTTATTTCATTTACCATTATCAACAACAATTTGAAAAAAAATTACCACAACTGGTAAAGCAATCTGCAGTTCGTTTACTCATCATCTATGACCAATTTTTGTAATAAATTATAATATTTTAATCTAAAAGTGAAAGAACCATAACACCTTTGAAAATATTTCAACTTGTGAGAAATATGCAGTATCTCCACTTACACTATTTGCAATATACATGTATCATTAGAGAATAATTTGGAAAGGTGACCATTCTCAGTACTTCTGGTATATCAAAAAATTTGGGTTCTGAAGAAATCTGTTTCTCATGTAGACAGAATTCACTAATTCTTTAATAAAGCAATAAATAATTTAGCAGCAAATAAACCTTAAAATATCAAAATTAGCAAACTAATGCCCTTCTCTTTCAATCTCAGATTGATTAATATTGAGACAATTTGTTCACTAAACTGAATTTACCTAGAAGAATTTTATTTGCATTAGTTTGCATTGGGAGTCGTTTTTTATTTTCAACTCTCAAATTTTCAAACTGCTGAATACCCTTTTGACTAGGTTTGAATCAACTCAAAAAATTAATATATTTATATTGATAATAAATATTTAATATTAAAAATATTTAAAAGCAAATACTGAAATGTAGGACTTCAAGCAATATATATTTTTTAACCTATTTGTATAAGTAAATAGTATAATAAATAATAAGTTGTGAATCAATACGTATCAACAAATTCCTTCTTAATCATCTTAATTAACATCTTAATTAACTTAAAAAAATTGTCTGCCTACATACCTTTATTAAAAAAATCTTTACAAGTCACAAATGTCAGTCTGAATATAATTCAAACATTAAATTTCACCTCAATACTACTTCAGTCAAACCTTAAAAATGAAATCAATGTCAAGCATCTAAAATGTTGAAGGGATGTTAAGTTGTATTATGCATACTACAAGAATACACACATGGATTGTATTACACATTTAAAAATATGCAGCAAAAATGTACATAAAATTAAAAGAGATAATATTGCAGTAGTATACTGCCAATACTTTTTTGGCAATGTGTATGTTGTAAAAATGGCCATTGAATACCAATGTTCAAAAAATTGCTCATTAAATTTAGTGACAATTATTTCCTTTATAGTAATTTTTTACTTTTTTATATAGAGGTCAGAGGATGCACCTAAGTGACTTTCTTGGCTTCCTTTTCATTTTCTTTCAATCGTGACTTACAACAATATTTAGCGTAAAAGTACTGTGTAATGTATATCATAAAAATCCAAGAAATTACATAAAATGCACCAGCTAATGCTTTAGATTCACAATCAGGTTTAGGATGTAATATAGTTTTATAAAATAAATAACCACCACCTAGAATTCTCATAAAGAAAAACATTAACATAAAACTTATTTCGACAATTACAAAAGCAAGTGTGTCTTTGTAGCCCAATGACCGTAGAAACCAACGTAACTGAAGGAATGGGTTAGTCATTTCCAAACCAGCAATTCCAGCCACAGCCTCTGTTCCAGAAACTCCTTTCATTAGAATCCGGCTAATTGCATAAATACTCACAGCGTGATGAATGAGCATTGTCACACCTTCAGTCTGATGATAAATACACCAAATGAAGTCAAAAAGGAAGTAGCCCAAGCAAATAATAAGTGTTGTTATTTGCATTAAAGTGTTAGGACCACCTAAGGAGAATATATTAAAATTATCTAAGATGTCTGAGAAGGGCCATTAGCAATAACACTAAAATCCCAGCTCACCTGGATCTGTAAAAGGCCATGGCCCGTAGTAACATGAAAATCCACCAAGGGTTGTCACAATAGTAGCATGACATGCAGTCAGTAAGCGACATGCCCACTCTGACTCCAATTTGAAAATATTTTTAATGACATAATAGAGAGATGTCCATGCACTGGCACAGACCAAAACTCCCCACAAAAGCAGCATTCTGAAGTTCCCTTAAAATGTATATGAGGTATGTATTAAATATTATATAGAAATATTTACATTACCAGGAAAGAAAAACAAATAAAGTAAACAAATAAGTTGTGCAACAATTGTTACATTGTACATAATAGCATGCACATCTCTCAATCGGTGTAATAAACTGCAACATTTGACATTCACAACATACCAGTGAAGAGCGAGGATTTGATTCCTCAAGATCTAAGCTTGTGCCTACACTCACAATTCGAGGATTTCATTATCGATGCATATTCTGCACAGGTGACGAACGATCAAGCCATGTTAAATTAAGCAAGTCAGGTTTCGAAAGTATTTCTTGGTCGGTTAAATTTCTAGCTAAGTGCGGGCGAAAGGACGGAAAGATCAACAGAGGCCAAAGAGGGGATCGAACAGTGCGGTGGGAAGGGGTGCGGCAAACCACGACGTTCTGCGCAACGCCCTCCGCACTGCCGAAGTGCCGATATACAGCGTGACTAGATGCGACAGTATAGCTTGTTTTTATTTATCATGTTTATATTTATTACCAACGTATACCATTTATAGTAATTACTGTAAATCATCGTCATCATCATATTCGTTGCAATAGTTCCATCACAATAATGCTATTCTGTGGAAAGGCAGATGATTCACGCGCAACCCTAAAATTATTACATTGTCAAGTTCCGACCCCAATCGGAACGGAACTTGCAGCAACTATACATCATAATAGTATGATTCTAATCAAATTCGAGAAGAAAAATGTCACAGTTCAATTAAATATTGCACATTTACAATCAACTTAAGACAAAATAAAAAACAAACTATGTCAACTTTTTTCGGCAGATAATTTTGTGATATTCGAAAATGTTGAATATGTTCTTGTTATTAAATGCGAGCGATCCAAGACATTCCACACAACACTTGTGTTACTAAAAGCCAATCAAATTACTAATAACTTTCTTCACATTAAAACATCCGCCACAAAATACTACATAAAACAATTCTTACAGGACCTGAAAATATTGGAAAACACAACCAATTTCGAATATATCACGACTTTCTACCTCAATGGTATTAGAAATGGGTTAGCCGCAAGAATAACGATACCTGCAACTCATTTTCTGCCAATTTATGTTACTTCTGACTGTTCATTTCCAATAAAAAGGAGTGAGAATTGAATCACGGCATAATTTGAATCCGTATTAAATTGTTTCAGATTCACAAATTTAATTAGTCAGTTATTAAAACTCAAGATCTAATTTATCGTGATGTATAAGTAACAAATTCTCAGAAACAGTCGAGTAGACATAATGAACCAAGCGCTTTGCGCTTTGACGAATGTTGTCTTTTACTTTTTCTAAAAGTACATTTTTTTTCACTTGGTCTGCAACATCTATAGATGTTCGCAAGGGGTTAATAACCATTCAGCACAATCTGGATCACTATCGTAATAGCGATAGCAAGCGGAGAACGTGCATCTTGCGTGCAGCTGTCAGAGCTGACGACTGGTCGAAGAGTTGTCTGTTTCTGATGCTGATAACGATTTCGTATCCAAACATTTCGACAATGAGTATTCAATTTTCGATTGCAGAATTATTAATGTTTTCTCTTAATGTAATTTCCAATGAAAACAACAAAGTGATTCATATTCATTAGTAATAAAATGTGTGCGTGTGTTGCTTGAGCCAAGTATCGCATATTCTAGTTGCTCGCGAACGTGATTTCTAGGTTATGGGCAGTCAGGCAGCGTACTGAGTGAGTGGAGTTCATGCTCAGATCGGGTGCAGCGGAATCAAGATGTCGGTAGTTGCCAGAAGACGAAAACCAAGAGTTTCTGGTGATTCAGAAGAATTTTCTGAAGATTCTTACGACGACAATGACGCTAATAAAGGATCAGAGGGCGTACGTATGAGTTGATCATTTCCATACTGTTTAGTATTGACCTCATTATAATATTGGTGTTCTGGCATAAATAGGGCGTATCGCGATTATATTATGAGGTCAGACGTTCTAAAATGAATGTTTCCAATTAATAACAGTGCAATGTGCGTTTTATTATCCTAGCCCTCAAAAGATCCATGATGTGAGGAATATAATTCTCTCTAACCCGTCTATATATTTTTTTGGTAACTTAATGCGCTGGTTATTTTAGCGAAAAACAAGCTGACCCTTACACTCTTTGATTTGATTTGTGATATTCAATGACGTGTAACTTAAATTACGGTGTGTTGTGTTCTCCACTTAGTCAAATATTGCTTCTAGGATACTGATCTGAATGCCAGTAGTGAAGGACTGAGAGAATCTGAGTATGAAACTCTGGATGAGGCTGGAGAGTCGGAATCAGAAGGAACGACTGCAGTTGATGAAGAAAGAGAAGGGGAAGAAGGGGAGGAAGGAGAAGGAGAATTAAGTGATAGTGTGATTATTGAGTATGAAAGAGAAGAAGGAGATGGACAGGTGGGTGTTTCAAATAATTCCCATTAAGAAATTTTGGAAATGTTTTACTGTAGTTTTGTTTTGTAATTGCTAACAGGAAAGTGCTCCACCCAAAGAGAAAAAATTGGATGATGATGAAGATAGGCGAAATCCTCAGTATATTCCGAAGCGAGGAACCTTTTATGAACATGATGATCGAACAGCAGTTGAAGACACGTGAGTACTAAACTAAATTACTAGGTTTGTAATAATGTATTATAACAGTAATAAATTTTTAATATCTTCATTTAGAAACGAGGAAGAAGTTGAAAAGGAAACAGAAAGAAATAAGGAAAATGAGAAAAAGAAAGTGTGGAAGGAGCATGAAAACCGATGGAGTCATGATAGGTACAATGAAGAAGATCAAACTCCAAAATCTCGCGATGAACTGATTGCAATTTATGGATATGATATTCGAAATGAGGATGCACCACCTCGAGCACGGAGGAGGCGAAAATATGGGTAATCTACCTTGTTTATTTGTTACAATCCAAGAAAGAGAAAATTTTATTATTTGTCTTAATATGGCAATTGTAGTAATGTGATTGCAGTCAGTAATTTAGTAGTGTGATTGCAGGGTCAGATAAGCTGTGAGTTAGTACCAATTATTACTGTAAAAAGTTTATCTTCCATTTTCTCTCTTTTTGTTTTCATTTTGTTTATTAATTTTTTAAGTATCATTGTTATTCTGAATTTGTTAAAACAACAAAGTTCTTTACACATTACTCTCAGAATCAAGATATACAAATTACAGAAGAGAGAAATATATGTAACACAGCCTCCAATGACATGAATTGAAGTTCTGTTCTGTCAAAATAATAATACCAAAGAATTGGGAAGTTAATCAAGAACCACCCAGAGAATGCTTTGCTGCTCATACTTCATATTTATTTCATTTGTCTTTTAAATTCTGGCTTTAAAGGACTCTTTGCCAATGTTCTAGAAACATTTAAATTTTAATTTCAACCATACCTTTTTTATGTTTGTCTGAAACCTCTTGGCTGAGAAGAGTTGAATTACGAAAGACATCATTTTATTTCCTGATGATATTTTAAGTGATTAATTTAATAATGAAATAAAAAGTTAATATTTATTGGGTAAAAAAACATTAATGCTTTTGAACATTGTTCCAACAGTCGAGGTCCTAATAAATACACAAGAAATTGGGAAGATGAGGATGCATATGGCAAATCGGGTGGTGTTGTTTTACGTGGAAGTGGAGTTGGCCGACGAGGTGGTCGAGGTGGCCCCAGAAAGCCATTTGGTAGTCAAACCGGTGACTCAGAGGAAGAATTTCCTCCTTTGAACAATTCAGCATCATCAGGTAGAGGGCATAAAGCAGGAGTACCTCCTAGATCTGGTGCTGTTCCAGCGTCTCAAATGAGAGGCACAGGGAGAGGTTCATTCAGAGGTCGCCGTGGTGGAAGCAACAGCAGCGGTGGTGCTTTTCCCCCACTGCCTCGAGGTTCTGATCCTGATATTGATGTGTAAGTACTGAAGTTTCATGTAATGTTTTAATGATTTAATTTAAAGTACATAACTAATTTCTGTGAAGCACGTCAAAAATGTATTGATTTGTTTTTGTCTTGGATAAGCATTTTGGCTTGTTGAACATTTTCTTTATGTAAACATTTACTTTTCACATTGTATCTCTTGTAGATTCAACTAGTGTATTTAGGAACTATGTAAATAGTGGTTTAATTAATGATTTAACAGAAAACAATTTTTTTGTAAAGCTTTTCTTAGAATAGTCGGAAGTCCATGTATGAAATTTGGTGGTTTCTTTGATAATATTCAATATATAGAAATTGGTATGAAATTTTTGTAAATGCATGTGCAAACTTTTTTAAACTTACCTAACATTCCAGAATTTGACTGAAACTCTTCTTCTCCCAAGTGTCGAACGTGCTTTTTCTTTTGTAAGAAGTTCCGAAACTGGCACACTTTAACCCTTATCAACTTTACACGCTTTAAAACAGCTTTGTTGTTGTTGTTTTTTTTTATAAATAATACACTGATCTCTTCTTAAATAAAGTTCACTTTTTCTGCAACAGTAAAGGATTTTTATTTCAACATTTTGAAGCAAATCTCGACAAACTAAACCTGCGCTGAACTGATGAACTAACATAGGGTTAGATGAAGGCGTTCATGATTGGCCTTCCGATCACTTTGGCATTCCCACAAATGACAAGTTCCTTCCGAGAGGGAATGCGGGAGTGAGTTATATTTTCCACAGTAGTAATGCTCTCCTTCCAGACTAAACAATACTAATTCTTTTAATAAATACTAATAGTCAAGGCGGGAAATGAGTTCAATATACAGAAAGATTTTTAAATAGAATTTTCAAGAGATGGAACAAAAATTTGATTTATCAAGAATTTCAATGTATGGAGGTTTAAAAAAAATTAAAAATAAAACACCACACACACACACACAGAATGTAAATGCATTTTCTTTTTAATTCAGGTCATTGATTAGAAGATAATAAAAAAGGAATTTTATCTGTTCATCTCGCAACATTTTTAAGGGTTGTGGATGTGATTCAAATCAACAGAATTTGTCTGCAAACACGACTAAATAGTTATTTCACATGTAAACATAGATTTTTGCTTGCATGTGATTTTCTAATATTTGATAGATATTATATTCTGTAATCTTCCTTGTTTATAGTGAAGCTGAAAGAATTATTTGATTTGCATTTCAGAAAGGAAGATTCTGCAAAAGAAGATAAGAACAGCAGTATCAGCAGTGGTCCTTCCACACCTAATGTATGGAAAAAAGATAACAGTCAAAATAAAGCTGATGTTGTCAAAAATCGGGAAGATGCTCAAAAATTAGCCAAGGATAATGTTAAAAATGTTGCTGCGAATGTTAGTGGTAACAGTAGTGTGCCTCCCTTTACTAAAACACGAACTGCACCAGATGAAAAGAGAGAGAAAGTGGAAGAAAATGGCTGGAAACCTCGTAGAGACAGGAGTCGTCCTCGGCCAGTACCAGAAGATGCTGTAGTAATGGATTCAGCTAACAGTAATTCTGGTTGGCGAAATAAAAATAAAGGGGAACGACGTGGAACGCAAATTCCTGTCGAATCACTTACTTTCACTCCGTCTGCTCCTCGAGGAAGAGGTAGAGGTCGAGGAGAACGTGGTGGTGGTCCTGGTCGGCAGACGATGGAATTTAAGCCTAGCTCCGGTACTGCTACGACAGAAAGCTCACGACGTAGCGTTTCTGAAACACGCATGTCGTCTCAAGAACAAGGCAACGGTGCAGAAGGTCCTTACGTAAGTATTAAAATATTTGTAATTGTTTTCATTAATTCATTAATTGCCTTGAATAACAATTTGGTTTAGTTTTTCGCTTACTGAATACCAGTTCGCTTTTGTTTTACAATCAAATTGGAGAGAGATCTCTTTTCCAATCAAAAGATTTGGCAATTTTCTGTTATTCAAAAAAATGTACACTAATTTTGTATTTTTGTGTAGATAAAGAGTCAAGTTGTGAATAGAACCACTGATGATATGACTAAGGAACTTAGTCATGTCAGTATAAGTGAACATCAGCCTCCTCTAAATAACAGGGAATATCCAAAAAAAACAATTAGTAAGTTTGTCAGAATTAAAAAAAACATCTATCAGGTGTTTGCATTAATACAAATCTCTTAATTATTAACTGTACTCAATTAATTTCCATGTTTTTGTAGAAAATAACCCCCCTAATTATCACCAAGTACCACCCAGAATGCAAGAGAGCGCAGCCAATAAACCAAAAAGGTACTCTTCACAGAGACAAAGGTCTTTGCCAGAGACAGGTGCTACTGCCACTACCTATGCTCAGCCACATGGGTATTATCCTCCTGGTAGGTGAAATTAAGATTTAGTCACAAGTTAAGAGTAGTCACAAGTTTTGTTAAGATGAATTTTGTTTTTTTGAGTTGTGACTGATTGAATTTAATTATTTTTGCCATATTAACTAATACAGAAGTTCCAAAACAACACTTGCAAATCAACATCAGAAATTTTCTTTCAACTTCACTACATACACAAAAATCAGTACTATTTGTGCAGCAGAAATAAATTAACAATTGCATGATAGATTTTACATGTTATATTTGTTACCATTTGTAGTCTGAATTCCTGATTTTGTAAGTGATCCATTCTTGATTGATATCATATTTGATGAGATTGTTGTTTTCTGAAGGAATTAATTTATTTTTAAAAATGCTAATAAATTTGTGCTAGTAAATAGTGTATGTAGTCTTTTGTGAGTGAGTGCTTGTATAGTGACCTGTGTTTGTTTGGGAACTTCTGCACGCATCTTGCATGGCCAGAGCATGGCCAAGTAATCCTGCCTGTGGCCCACTGTGATGTGTCGTTGCAGCAGGTTACGCCCAGCCGCCAGAAGAGCTGGAGGGGATGGGTGTGGTGAGTTCTGGCTACGTGCCGCCACCTCCTGTGTACGGAGATGCCCAGCAGCAGCCCCCGCCGCCCGCAGTGGTTGCTCAGGCTCCAGCCACTACGCCGCCCTTGGCCCTGCTTCCACCCCCTCATCCTCAAGCCCAGGCCTATGCCGCACCGCCCTTCTCCTCTCCGCCCACGTTCATTCCTCCTCCTGTAGCTGGCCCTCCCCCACGGATTTTACCCCCTGGGGCTGCCACCTACATGACAGCTGCACCTACTGGAGCTCCCATTATTAATTACGTTGCGACTCCAGCGCAAAATCAGTTTGCACCTCAAGCTTATGCTCCTTTCCAAGGCTACACTGCTGTGGTGAGTGGCTTTCCTTTTGTTAAAGCATATTGAAGTGGCATGTTGAATTCCATGTTTACCCTTCATTTGAATTTTTACAGGCTTTTTTCTCTTTTTTATTAATTACTCCATGTCTAGGGAAAAAAAGTAATTTAATAAGGTAAAGTAAAGGATAATAATCAATAATTGTAGTGAAAAGGTTATTGAAAAAGTGAATCAAAACACACATTTGACTCAAAATAATATTAAATTGTGTAATGAAATAGAAGAATAAGAACAGTGTTTTCTGTTGCTTGTTTTGAACCATTCATCTAATTTGATAACACTTGCATGTTGTTTTAATGACATCAATGACTAGTTCATTAAGTATCAAGGTAAATATCGATGTGTGGTAATCACCCATATTGAGTTGTTACTAGGTTCTGTGACGATTTAATTTTTCATGTATCAGTAAAAATTTGAAGTTTTAAAATATATTTTGTAGCGAAATTTTTGTTATACTTCTAATGCGTTGGTGAAGAAAAAGCTTCAAGGGTTGTTGTCCAGTTTTCTGTAGCTTAAAGAAATAAAATTACCAATATTGGTAATTTAATAGAAAACTGTATGGAGTACATCAGTACATTGCACTGTTCTTGTGATCTTTTCACGTTCATGAGTCTCAGCTTTATCCTTATTCTGATGTGTTTTGTCAAAAACATTGCGCTTGGAATTTATAAAGGGACTCGCATTGGCCAGATGCAAGATCTGCCATTTTTTCTTGCAATTGTGATACTGGCAATTTCTCAGAGCAGCGGACCTACTTTTTACTAAACTACAATTGAAGAGAGACCATGCAATTGTGTTTTATAGGGCAGAAATGAAATAAGGCACCTCCACCACCTCCACCACCTCCACCTCCACCTCCACCTCCACCTCCACCACCACCACCACCACCACCACCACCACCACCACCACCACCAACAACAACAACAACAACAACAACAACAACAACAACACTTATCAAAGTTATACTTGTGGAAGACATTCAAGGAAGAAAATTGTTTGCAATAACTGTGATGCAGCTGAGTGATTAATTTAAAAAATGTAATAAAGATAAAACACAAAATAAAAATAAGAAAGATAAAATGCAGATGAATATTGAAAACTCTAAATGTTTTATATAAGTCATTCTAAATATTCTCTATAAACTCTAAATATTCTCTGCAAGTCTGATATTACTGTGCATTGTAATATGCTAAACAAGTACGAATGAAATCTAACTTTTGGAGATATTGCCATTATTGCAAAGGTATTTTTAAACATTTACTGTATATTCCTGAATATAAGATGAGCATTTTCCTAAATATCTCATTCTAAAAATACAGGTCTCTCTTGAATTCACAGATTAAGCTTTAAGCAAAAATCTGTTATGATTTTTGTACTTATCACATTGCCTTTCTATGTCACGAAACTTGTAAATGTTTACATAACAATAAGCTCAACGATGAAATTATCTCGTGTATCTATAACACCTTATATCGGAAGAATAGCTATAGGCTAGTCAGCTGGTATATTTTACCTCGAGGACTGTTCTTTGGGTATGTTGTATGAACCATGGGACTAGTTAAAACCCTAATTTTCATTCCTCTTCAATGCTAACTCTAGGAGACCCCAAAACTCAGTATATTTTCTGACGTGTTGGTTTCTCTGATGGATGTAAGCATCAGGTAGAAAAATGATTCTAAAACAATTTAAAGAGGATAAAATTTCCTACAACTTTTGCATAAAACATTTATTTTGATAGCCATTCCCAAGTGTGTCTTGGCTTTAAAAAAAATGCAATTTTTTCATTTCTTCAAAATATGTGCAAAATACCCATGATTATGGTATTATTTGTTATAATCAGCTTATACTAAATGTAATTATAGTTGTAAGTAATACTATTATCTCACTGTCAGTGTACACATTGCCTTACAAATGATCCATTGCCAAAATTTCTTGATATTGTAAAAAATTGATAGGTGTGCTAGCTTAACTTTTTCAGCACTGTAACAATTACATACGCTATCTTACTGATTATGTCAATCCTCACTCTTCTAGTGATTATTGACATCGATTTTTTAATTTCAGTTTCCGTTAGGCTATTATGGTCAGTTCTCTTCTAAAACAATCAGTTATGTGAAAAGGATGAGAAATTTCCAAACTTTGTCATTTTTTTCCAACTACTAATGTACAAAAAGTATTTCTCCTGTTGACAAATTCGTTAGTACCAGCTATTTTATAAACAATCTGTATTGTTTCTACAATTTTCCGTGTTAATAGATTCATAATCATCTGAAACTCACAACAAAGATTAGTTTTCTTATTGGCTCCCAATTTTCTTGAAATTAGGAGAAATTGTGGAAAGGCAGATACCTTTCCAGAATTTGATTTCAGAAACAGATTTCATTTCAGTTCACACTAAATAAGTAACTAAATAGTTTCATTCCAATATACATTTTTCTGAAGTTCATTTAAGTATATTGATGTTATGTAAATAAAATTCTCATAATTCTTAATTCTCCTTTTAGATACTAGGTTTTATTATGGTAAGTTTTGTTGGGAATGTTATTGAGTGTTCTGTATTCTTAAACAATGTTATTTTTTTTTTTCAGCCAGCAACTCAACCTCCTCCTGAGCTGTTCCAACCCCAAGGCATAACATACTACAGCCCTGAAGAACAATTAATGCCTCGTACTATTACTCAGAAGCGACAGAGCACTGCTATTCCCATAGTTCCCCCTCCAGAAAAAGGACCTAGAGGCCGTGGGCGATTGCGTGAGGAAGTTAGCGGAGGGACAACTCCTGTTGGAGATCCAGGTGCTGGAGGGGATGCCACTTCTTCAGCATTAAAGGAAGCTCAAATGGAGGATGCTCCTGAAATTATGAAAACAGAGCTAGTGATTGAGGAGCCTGGGAACTCTAAATCGACGATTGATCCTGTGCCTGAAGCTAGCCAAGAAACCAGACATGAAGAAATTTCAAAGAAAACAGTTGTTTCTCCAGAAATAATTGAGGCCATTAATGTCACTGAAATTCCTGAATCAGCTGAAGCAGTGGAAGCAGCAAAGTCCATTATTGCTGCTGAGGCAGCTTCTTCTCAAAGTAATGCTGTTTCTAGTTGTATTGAAAGTAGTAGTACTACTGAAAGCAATACAACTAGTAGTAACACTAATGAAACTGATGCGGCACCAGTCAGTGTCACATCAGCAGAACAGGTTACTCAAGCATAAGGGATGTAGTAAAAAATCATATCATGTGTGTTGTTTTGACCCATGACTAATCAGAATCAGGAATGCTTTTGTATATTGACCGTGCCTGCCTGACATTATTTATATATGTTACAATGTATAGGTGTTAAATGTATTTTGCAGACACATTTTTAAGAGTGTTGGATAGTTAGTCAGTTATCTGTTATCATCCTTGAATGTTGAACATAGTATTTGGTTAATGCAGAAGCCATTTGTGCAACAATTATGGTATGTTCCACATGCCAAAACAAAATGATAAGAGTAAATGAAAAACTTATCCACTTGTAAATACTTGAAATAGACAATATCTTCCTAACCACAACTATTTTGAGGTTTTATGGTATTTGATACTTTATGAATGCACAGGGTGATGAATTATATAACAACTTCTTGTAAAACTTTTCTGTTGTGATGTGGGCAGGACGTTGGTATTTGTTCCCTCACGATTCCTTTCAGAAGTGACCAAGTTTAACAATATTTTATTTGCATGACCTATAGAGTAAATGAAATTTTCTGAATAGTGATTTTGTTTTATTATGGATAATACTTTAGCAGATAATGGCCTATTATTTCCACTGGAAAATGATGTCTTTGTGTTTTGTAGCATTCATACTTGCTACAAGTGAAACACTCCTGATGTAATTCAGTAATGCATCCTTTTACATTGTAAAGTAAAGGATTCTTGATGTATACCATATTACAGTATCTTGTGTTCATTGTTACTCTTATTCTAATGAGAGACAAAAATTAAAACGATGAGAAAAATGTTCAGACCTCCATATCAAGCATTTTTGTTTAGGCATTTGCTTATGGAGTGAGTTTATTAGTAAATGGGCTGTAGTAATTTGTTGTGGTATGTTGTTGCATGTAATGAAATGTAAGATATATTCTATATTGTTGGAAGCAGACATTTCATTAACAATTTAACTGATGTGATCATCACTTAGGCTGAAAGTGAAGAAGACAGCCTTCACTATGTGTTGATAATTCATTTGTTATGAAAGGAGTGTGTTGTCACAAGATGTAACAAAATTCTATAAAACATTTTTCCTTCAATATTTCACATACTGTGGCTATGACATTTTAACATAGACAATCTGTGGCCTGGTGAAGGCAGCTCAATTTTTGGTATTACGAAATAGAATGCCAATCTCTTATTGGTTGATGATCAATTAAAACCTGCTTGATGTTGCTAGAATGTCTCGAATATTAAGATGGAAGGGCACAGTTGCAGTGGTTTAATTGTGAATAATGTTACTGAAAATGTGCAATATTTGGAGACAGAAATCAGCATTGGCTGAAAGATTGGAAATAATATTCTGGACCATAGGGGTGGATTGCTGATGGTTACAGCTTGGTTGTTTTTTTTTAATGTTTTTTTATAATGGAACATGTACTGAACATTTAGGTAAGTTTCCTACTCAGCTGGTGGTTGTACAATTAGTATTTTTATAATGTTAATTTATTGCCTTGCAAGTTGAATTTGTTGTTAAATGCGCAAAGAGAGAAGCTTTCCATTTGTATTTATTTAAAAGGAAGAAACAAGTTATGGAAGAAAATAGGGTATTTTTTAAGTATCCTATTTATTTAATTGTTGTAGTGGGTTTATATTTCCTTTTGCATCATAGTAGCTGAAGAATATGAATTTATAATTATTCTAATTATTGAAACTATTTTACTGACAATATTTATTTTATTCTCTCCTGTTGCTTTACTAGCATTTTCATGCTTTTATATATATTATATTAAGAATTGTCAAAAATGGTACTAATTCTGTCCCTTGTACAAAGATTTTGAAATAAATGCAGGTTCTTGAAAAACAATTTTTTTTTTCAGCATTTTCCTTCCGAATGTTATCCCTTGTCTTCATATTCTCACAAATAAACACTCATTGCTGTGATGGATGTCAGATGTAACAGTTTGTTGTAAAGATGAAATCTGAATCCTAGGAGATTCTTGAGGACCTTGCTTCCTATCTCAGCAAATTGTTTCATTCAGTTAAATCAAAACTTCTGTTAAATTGCTTGTAAATTAATTTATTTCAATGCATTACATAGATCTTGGTTTATTGTTTGGTAGTGCTGCTAGTAGTAGGTGCAATTTCCATTGTATTGTCATTACTGGCGGCTTTGCGTCGGCGTGAGTATTTCTTTGAATGTGCCAATCTTTTCTCAAACTTGTATTGCATTGTGTCTGTATTACAAAAATACATGAAGATTCGGATAGCCACAAACACTGAAGCGTTTCTTGTTTGACTGTAATTTTTCGCACGTGCGCGGACGTTCATGAGAGGAAATGCAAAGGAACTGTATCTTTATTATTAGGAAACAATAATACAAAGAAAGTGTTTCTGATGTACTATATACGTTAAAGCGAGATAAGCACACCATTCTCTACCAAGGACAAAATAAATTGTGCAGTCAGTCGCTGTAAATATTTCGGCCTGGAAACACTTCTTGCAATGAGGCCCAAGGGGAAGAACTCGACGTTCGAGCAAAGGCAACTTGTGGTTTTCCACCACGCAGAGGGACGCTCCTGCAGGAGATCGTAAATCTTTCACTCATGAGCAAGAGCACAGACCACGATATCATTTAGAGATTTGAGAAAAGATAATTGAACCTAAACCGCAACAAGGACAACGTAAGAAGATCTGCGAAAGAAACCAACATGAAATTTTGAGGAACGTACGAGAAAATTCGAAGATGAGTGCCGTCCAGCTGGCAGCAGCACTGCGCGAAGCATCAGGGACATCTGTGCACCCCGAAACAGTGCGCAGAGTAATTAGGAATGCCGGATTACACGGCAAAGCGGCCAGGAAGAAACCCTTTATCGGTACTGGGAACAGAGCTAAACGACTTCAGTTTGCAAAGGAATTCATTACTAAATCAGAGGAGTAGTTGCGTGAGGTAATTTTTGTAGATGAGAATACGTTCAATATTTTTGGCAGTGACGGTAGGGAAATTATATGGCGAAAACCAAATACAGAATTGCACCCTGAAAGTAGTGTCAACTGTGAAAATCGGAGGTGGACACATATTGGTGTGGGGTTACATATCAGCTGCACGCGTGGGGAGATGGTGTTTATTAAAGACACAATACACAAACATCAGTATCTCAACATACTGAAAGAGAATTTGCTGACACGAGGCACCAGGAACTCGTTTAAATTTTATCAAGACAAGAGCCCGAAACACAAATAATATTTAGTTTTCGAATGGTTGTTTTACAATTGTCCAATAGTACTGGAAACGTCGCCTCAGCCTCCTTTCCTCAATCCAATCGAGAACTTATGGCATGAATTGGTATGTCAGCAGAATCCCAATGACATCAATGTTCCATCTGCAAGCGAGAATCCAAGAAGAATGGGCACAAATTGGATAACAGTACCTGAAGAGGATTATTGATTCAATGCTAAAGTGATTGCAGCAAGTCATTGACTATAATGGTTATGTTACAAAGTATTAATTTTCTTTTCGTTTATTTATTAATTATTATTATATTACATTTCACCTGTCCCAATATAACTGTGGCTAATGAATCCAGACAATTTTATTTTGTTTTCTTTTTTTATCGAATGCGTCAACTACAATCTGGATTTTTGTTTGGTTTATACTGTTATTCGTTAAGAAACAAACAATATTCTGTTTCACGTTCATGTATATATTTTTTTCCTACAACCGTCCAAATATTGCAGAAGTTACGATTTCTCAAGTGTATTTGGGTTTGTGAATATTAACGTGAGCCACTGTACATCTTATTAGAAGAGTCGTTCGTGCGTCATTACCCATAAATACTTAATCTAAAAGGGTATGAGCCCAGAATGTGCGATTCGCACTGATAAAGAGATTTTGGCAAATGTAAAGGACAATATTTAAAATTTGTCATAAAACGTAAAATGAAACTCAGCAACAAGGGAACTCCAAATGGCGCATGCAACACGACTCGAAATGTAATCGCGTGACAACTATAATACGTGGGCTATACAAGCCGAAGCTTTATTAATAAAAAATGAGACATTGGGATATGTTTCTAAAAAAAATCCCGAACCTTCAGAACTGACAGGCAACGCCGCCGAGCTAGAAGCTGGACGCGCCTTCAAGACAGCTTGAATAAAAGCCGACCGAAAAGCGAAAGCGGATTCGATTTTGTCAATCAATTCCTCAGAATTAAAACAAGTCAGAACTTGTGTCATATCACGCGAGTTATGGTTTAAATTGGAGTCCATATACGCATCAAAGGGACCCTCGCGAAAAGCGACGTTATTGAAACGCCTGACGCAACACAAAATGGAAAATGGTGACGATATAAAGGAACATTAGCTGGATTCTTATATGCTGTAGACAAATTGCAGGCAATGAATGTGGATATCAACGGAGACTTGTTGGCCATCATGATTCCGTACATCCTTGCTGAAAGCTACGACAATTTTCGATGTGCGAAAGAATCTAGTGATTTTTATCTATTTATTTATTTATTTATTTATTTACGAAAAAAACAGTTAAAAACTGTGTGTGACGTGCTATGGGGAGAAGTTAATTCGAAGTTACATTTATGTCCAGAAGCACAACAAGGGGCCATCTCAGCACATGCTCGAGGATCAGGGAAACTGGACGAAAACGTGATCGAGGGGGGTCATTGACCCAGAAACTGAAGTACAATACTTGTTACTTATTGATCTGCAGGACGCTGAGACGTGCAAGGTAAAGATTGTGTAAGAGCACAACGCTCAGAAACGTATGATAACGGCTAGACAACCGTAATGATTGTGAAAACTAATCAACGTTTCTTCAAGAAACTTAGAGACGACGTCAAAAGCAATTTAAAAAGCGAGCAAACTAAAGAATTAGAAATTAATACAATAAATTTTTTTAAAAAGGGACATAAAGAAGCTGAATGTTTTTTGAGGAAGAAATTGATTAAAACCTCTGAAAACAAAACTGAAAAGGTTTATTTGTGCCTGTCAGTTCAGAATTCCAATAAGAATTCACATAACCCAGGAGAATTGTGGTGTATTTTCCACATGTGCAACGACAAAAGTGCATTCGAGCACGCGAGTAAAACCGTGAGTAAATTAACACTCGCTGACGATTGTTAAAAGTCAAGGCGAAGGGTGAGGTACATTTTACAATAGTGTGAAATTTATGTAACGGAGTATCACTGAAAAACACTTTGTATGTACCTAATCTGAAAAATAATTTAATTTCAGTTGCCAAAATCATCGATCAAAACTTGAGGGTGACATTCAAAGAGGAACGTGCAAATCATCTACAAATCAGATGAGGTAAAGCAACGAAGGTTGCCCATTATGTTTCGGGATTTGGCAACCCTGGTGTTGCAATCTGGCAACTCTCATAAACTCTCGTAAAGTTGGATGTTTTGAGGTTATACGTACTCAGAATGTTTTGACATACGAGCGCTATTTGTGTTGTTTTACAGTAACCTGAAAGATTCATCTTGGCCCCAAAAATGAATTAAATTGTGAACATTTCGTTCGATTATTTTTTACAACTTTCGACGCACTCAGCAACAGTGCATGGCTGAACTTAATTCAATTTTTGGCGATGAAGCTCCATCAAGGACCAGTGTTTATCGATGGTATGGTGAATTCAATCGTGGTCGTTGTTCACTCCATGACGAATTTCGCAAAGGTCGTCCAAATGAGTTGTTATTCCGAAAACCATTGATGATGTGCGTGAACTGATATTGCAAGACTCGTCATGTGACCTATCGTGCGATTGGAGACAACCTTAGGCATTAGTGGACCAGCATACATTCAATATTGCATGAACATTTGACTGTCAAAAAAATTGTTCGCGTTGGCATCCCACACAATTTGTCAATCGCTCAAAAAAAATCGTGTCGATGATCGAAAGAAGTGCTCAAAAAATACGATCGCGGTGCTTCGAAACACGTCTATGACATCGTGACAGGTGATGAATCGTGATTTACGCGTATGAGCCCGAAAGTCAACAGCAATTTGCCTGTTGGTGTTTTTCAAGATGAGCAAAATCCAATAAAAGTTGTTCGCGCACGAAGCACTTTCAAACCGATGGTCGCCTGTTTTTTTTTTTTTTTTTTTTTTTTTTTCAGAAAAACTGGACAGTGTCGCAACCATACCACTAGAACAGTCAATTCTGAGTGGTACACAACGATTTGTTTGCCAGCTGTCTTCCAAGATAATCAGGAAAACCAACACAATCGGCTCAAACAACGCATTTTTGAGCACCCAGAACTGCGATTTGACGAGTTCTCCGCCGTAGTCCGCCGTGATAGTCCTGACTTGGCACCGAATGACTTCTTTTTATTCCCGTACGTAAAAAACAATCTGAAAGGTCAACGTTTTCGACACCTGAAGAAGCAGTTCTGCATTCAGAATGCAATAATGTTTTGGAGATACCTCAATCAGAGTGGCAAAAGTGCTTCGACAATTGGTTCAAACGCATGCAAAGGTGTATAGATCTTCATGGGGAATATTTTGAAAAACAAAGTGATTTTAGATGATTAATATTTGTTTTTGTTCTCTAATCCTGAATTATAAAAGGCAACTCTCGTATTAGCAAAAATAATTGTGGACTTATTCTGTTTGGAAGACAATCAAGTTGCGTACGCCAATACGCAACATACGAGACAGCAGCTATCAAGAATTCAATGAAAAGTTGGTACGCTCGAGTCGGCCATCTCAACTTCATGGATATGAAACTAATGCTTAAGACCCAAGGCCCCATCGGACTGGAATTCGAGGATTCATTTGACTCAACTAAATGTGAAATATGTATCGCGGGAAAAATCACAAGAATTCCATTCACAAAACATGAATATTCCCTGCAGCTGATTCATTCAGACATATGTGGCCCTTTAAGGACATATTCTTAAGGTGGTAAACGATATTTCATCACATACGT